CCTATCCCCTGTGTGCCTTGACCCATGTTTCTAGTTATTTTAAATCCTCGATTACCTAAGACCTTGAACCATATGGAATGTTAAGGGAATGTCATCATGCTAGGCTTTCTTAACATATGTTGTGTTGATTAGATAACTTGGTTTGTATGGATTTATTATTAAGATAACTAGTGTAGTTGAACCTTTGTGGTTCATGAAGGTTTTATATATTGTGAAACCAACGGGTATTGAATTATATATTGCTTAAGATTTGTTATGCTACCTCATGTTATATGCATAAGAATGTTGAGAAAGTATATGTTGTATGTGCAATAATTGAGTAGGAGCTGCTATAGTCTCATATTTCTTTTAGCTGCTTGGGTATTCAGATGTACATGTGCAAGCTATCTCACGGATCCAGATGATACAAATCTACATCTGGATATGTGTTTATGCTTAGAAGGGGTACACATTCTTGAAAATCAAAGAAACAGGATGTGGTGAAATTATCCACTATAGAGGCAGAGTACGTGACGTACTATTTAGCGGTCAAGGAGGTCGTATACATTAATAAATTTCTTAATCGACTTGACTTTGACCCTGTGAGTTGTGAGGCAGTAAGGATTTTTTGTGACAACAAGACGGCGATATGTATGTCAAAGGAGCTACGATTCTATAAGAACTCCATGCATATGAAACCATATTTCTATTATATGAGAAATGAGGTGAGATTGAGAAGATTGAGATTTAGATAAACTAAATATTTTAGTGGGAGCACCTGTTAGCATTTGACAGGCCAGATGAAACAACAGACTATAATATTGTTCACCCATGGAACCAAAATGTGTGGTGCTGGTTGTATGGCTACAAAAGGGAGTAGCTTATTTGAAAAACTCTTTTGAGCCGATGAATATACGACCCCATGTGATGAAGGTATGTGATGGTCTTCTGCGACAACAGGTCCATGATTCGCGATGCGATGTGAAAGATGGGCTACGACCACTTTTTGGATAAGATCCGAGCTACAAAGAGGAAAAGGCGTTGCCTCTATAAATCCTTTTGTGAAAGAATTGCTGGGAAAATACATGTTTAATGTATTGAGAGTGAATAAGCGAAAAATGCTTGAGAGAGAGATTGTAATTGGGAGAGAGAGACGGGATGAGAGAAAGTGAGAAAGAGAGAATATAAGGCCTTCAAAGGGCAAGCGGGAGATACTAGGTTTATGTGGCCTTTAAAGACCTTATAAGTGCTTGTAAAATGAAATGATATAATGGAACATGAACTCGGTGCGAGTGTGGTCTCTCGTAGACCATATCATCCAAATGATGTTTGCAGATACCAGATTGTGCTTGACGATCTAGACCAGTCGGTTGGGAAAAACCCATGTTACCTAGGCATGAAGAACAAACCGATGAGGGTTCATAGATTAGCCCTTGATGACGTCGGAGAATATGCTCGGATGAGTGAGTCGAGGGACTGTGTGACCCTTGTGTGTGATGGTGGCCTACAGAAACAGGGGCCAAAACCTCATCCATGTGTCATCACACGACATGCATATCGATAGATTATTCGAAAAAGCCAAAAATTTACCTTTTAGGGTGAAGCGCATGTGCAAGAGATCCCCCTATGCGCCATAGAGTTGTGGTTGCATCAGGTCTTAGTAACCTGGACTCGTATCTAAGGGAGGACATATAATCCTCAAACTGAGATTGCGACCCCTTAGCTCATCCGCCAGACTTTAGTGACCCACTAATGAGTTCCTGCTTGGACTGTGGGTCATGGGAAACACTAGGTCGGTCTGATAAAGAAAGTATGGTCAGTAGTCCACAGTTGAAGGTGGAGTGCCCTATGATTGTTGATTCAATTCCTAAACCATATGGATCAATTTCCCATCAAATTAATTTAATTGTGTTTATTTTATGATATTTTACAATTATTATTTGAATTTTTATGAACATTTGGATATTTTATTTATAATTTTTGAATTTATAAAATTAAAGATATTGATTTTACAATGTTTTAATATTCACTAGAAATTATTTTGTTTAATTTAAATGCATAAAAAAAATAATCATGGGGACCCATTGTGCACATGGGCCCACCATGTTTTTAGAAGGTAGGGCCTACAAGTGCCTCCCATGGTGGCACACCCTACCTCTTACTATTTTCTATTTTATGGAAAGTTTTGTTTTGTGGTCCATATGACCTTATGTTCTGGTAACTTTAAATTGTGACATGTGGTCAAATTATGCATTGAGTATAAATTGACTTAATATGGAAGTAGATATTGGGTTGACATATCTTTGATAGATTTTATGGGAAATATATTTAGAGATGTGTTATTTTATGGAATGCACAATATTTAATTAAAATTAATTTAACTTATTTTTTATCGATGGAAAAATGGTTTCGGAAAGGGGTAAGGGTTCATGCACATTCTATAATGTTGATGGCACATCTATGGAATGGATGGCTCAGATCTCTCATCCCACAAGTCACCATTGATCGACGGTCCATGTTCAATCTCACAAGAAGAGGCAAGCCAAGGAAGACCCTAAGAAACCCTAATCTTGTTCAAGCCTATAAAAAATGGATTATCTCTACTTAAAATCTCTACACATCTTATCTTTTTATCTCTCTATTGTTTGATCTCTCTCTCTCCCACATTGAGAAAATGAGCTAAGGGAGTAGGCTACGGAGTTCTTCTCTCTCCCATCTCTCAACTATGAATTTATGGTTAAGGGTTTTTAGGGTTAGCAAAAAGAGAATCCATCTCTCTCAAACTAGGTTGCTAAGTGAATTCACTTAGGGTTTGAGTTTGTGATCAAATGGTTCATGTTCCATTGGTGTGGTTTGGCCTAAACTTGTTTTCTCGGTTTGATATTTACGTAAGATCGTCCATCCCGCACCATCGGATAGTGGTGATTCGGTGTAGGGTGTAATAAGCCCGGTTGAGGTAATCTCCGACACTCTTCTTCTTTATTTATTGCAATCTTTTTTTTTTCTATTCTCAAGCATAGTGCATGGTTATTTGAATGGCATCAAGTTTTAAGATCTTGGTTTTATTGTTATGTTGATTTTATTTTGAGGCGTATGTTGTTGTAATAAGACCGCTTGTAAGTGATATTTTGCTAAAACAAAAGAGGTAATATTATATATATATATATATATATATATTATTCCCCGGTAAAAGATCACATAAGTCTTTCTTTCAATCTTTCCTTGCCTTAGACAGACCATCCATCACATGAGTACTGTTGTTACTTGAGGTGTCACATGATATGGGCCATCTCTATTATGGCTAAAGACATGGACTCGATGATGGAGGGTTGCTTTGATTGGTGATGTGTTCCTATCGAAGTTTGGGACTGTCGTCTTTTTTATCCAGATGATACCGGGGCGTCAGATGCGGATGAGCTAGATTCATCCTGGACTTCTAATGGGGGGTCATTTGAGATTACAGTGTTGGGCCTTTCTGGCTCAATTCTAATGCCACCCCCAATAGATTTGTAAGTTCCATCTATTGTGCCACCATCATAGATCTTACTTAGCAGCGAATACTCGAGTAAAGTCTTGTTATGATGTTTATTTGCCCATTCATTCTCCTGAATATAGAAGACCACAAATTAATGTTAACGATATTCGTATTGAAACATAGTTAATATTTTAAAAGACAAGTTAATATTTTAAAAGACTATGCAATTGAGTAAGTACATGTTTCTAGGAAGTCATTCCAAACAGCAACCTCTATGGTTACTATCTTCCTACTCTCATCCCATCCGAAACTGGATACAAACATAAGTTTTTTGATATCAAAGTAAATGTTCTTAATGAACTTATGCTTACTTTTTAGCCTAGTTAAGGTGTTTATTGACCCTTATTTCATTGTCATGATGTCTACCATACGTTTCTATGCACCTTTTTAAAACCTCCCCTGGCCCGTAGCCCTAGTCTCGATCTCCATAAGTTGAATGGAGAAGTCCTTTTCTCACTGTGTCCATTGGAGCTTTTTCTTGCCTCCCATATTCTCATTGCCCATGCTTGATGATGTGTGTGGATCCATCCTATTATAGAAAAACAACGGATCTATTATATTCTATATAATCATTGAATACTACACATCCATTGCACACACCATTATGGACTATGCTCCAATATATTTTATACAATTACCGATGATTATGGACTGTACAATTACATTCATACAATTATATTCAGATTTCATGAGCCGATAAGCATTATTCATGAAAAATAGAAAGGTAGCAAAAAGAGTATGGTAGCTACAACATTTATAATTGGAGCGAAGCAAAACCAAACAAACCAAACAATAAAAAATAATATTCCCATAGTTATCTACTCAGGAAAAAAAACTCCCACATCAGATGCATTGAGAAACTCTCACACTAACTACAGTATTTCCCCTCCCAAAGGAGGAAGAAAACTAATAAAAAAAATGAGAACATAAGAAAACATAAAGAACATATCATAGTACATCCAAGAGTATAAAAAATCTTTGTTTATCCATGAGTTTTCCTTTTATTTCTCATTTGCTCGTATGCATATACATGATTAAGAACATCTAGAAAGAATTCAAGGGGAAATTATTAAGTCTCTGATAAATAAGCTCATCAATGCAAAATATTGATAACACTAAATAAAGAAATCACAACCGATAAATCACATATTGATAATAGAAATTTCTTGCAATAACACTATAAATTCAGTATCAAAATAAATTAAGAGCCCTAACCCTATGAATTTAATTCAATATTTTCATAAAACATAACACGGAGATGAACAAAATACTGATAACACTAAATAAATAAATCACAATTTAGAAATCACATACGAATTAACAATAATTTTTTGCAATAACACTATAAATTCAGCATTAAAATAAATTATGAGCCGTAACCCTGTTAATTTAATTTAGCATTCTCAGAAAACATAACACAGAGATGAACAAAATATTGTTAACACTAAATAAAGAAATCACAATCCAGAAAACACATACTGATAACAGTAATTTCTTACAATAACACAATAAATTCAACACCAAAATAAATTATGGGCCCTAACCCTATGAATTTAATTCAATATTCTCAGAAAACATAACACAGAGAAGAATAAAATACTGATAATAGTAAATAAAGAAATCACAATCTAGAGAAAGAGTAAAAAATAAAAATAAAAGAGATCGATTTAGGGTTTTTGTAGAGGATTTGAAGATCTTCAACAACAATAATAAATAAATAAATAAAACTAAGAAATAAAAGAGATATTTCAAAGACGGCATATTTTACAAGTTCTTCATAGGTCCCTCTGTTAAGCAATGAAAATGCACGAAGTTGAGCAAGAAATTTAATAATAAATTTAGGACTTCTTTAGGGCATTTGAAGAACTTCAACAAGAATAAAAAAATCTTAAAAAATAACAAAGAAATGAGAGAGAAATCTAAGCTTTGGAGGATTTTTTTTTCTTGCTCGCAATAACCCTAAAAAGACTAATAATAATGAATAAAAGTAAAGAATGGATTGGGTATATATACCTTTTTTGAGCGATTGTGCTTCAATGGCGAGAAAAGAGCGATGGTCAATAGTGGCTTTAGGCTTCGCACAGTAGCAGCAGCTTGAACCCGAAGAATGCTTTGTTCAAAAACTTGTGATTCATATTATGTTTGGTTTAGAAAGAGAGAGAAGCAACCATTGAGCAGCCAGCGAAGAAGCCGTCTCAGACATGGATGAGCAGCCAACGATGGAGGTGATAGTTGAAACCGCTAGGTAGAACGTAGAAGCCATATCAGGTGAGAAAGGAAGAAGAGAGTTGAAGGCGAGTGGCGCTGCAAAGAGGGTTGCATGCGAGGAAGGAAGAAGAGAGTTGCAGGCGAGCGGCGTAAAAAGAGGGGTGAAGGAAAATTAGGGCAGAGCTGTGAAGAGGAGTGAATTTTGTCGGGGGTAAAAAGAAATTAGAAGTTCCATTTTCAAGTTCCATGGTTTACCATGGAACTTTATTCAAGCGTAAAAAGTGAGAACAAGAATAGTAAAAGGAAGTTACCAAATTATCTTACCTTTTTTATCAAACACATAACATGAACAATAATAGGTAACTTCTCACTTCCAGTTAACAACCACACCCCAAATGTAACAATTTCCACTGTTCTTGTTGGTCTTAGGCTTCTCATCCTCATGATATGTTATTTTGGATCATAAGAAATAAAAGCTCCTTGTTTTCATACTTGTTTTTAGACTTGTATTATGCAATATTTGCCTTGCTTTTGATGCAGTTAGGTTTGTTCCAATAAGGCATGAACTTTCCTTCACTTTATGGTGGCATTTTTTGGTATTTGTTTTACATTGACCAACTTCAGCATGGTGAACAGAAAGAATAATTTATCCTGTGTATAGACTTCTCTTTAATGAGATCTAGACCATTGCAAAACAAGTCCTTGTTGGTGTGGTCCTCAACAATCCCCATAAAGTCATGTTTTTTTGGCTTTTCTAACTAGGCAAAATTCTCACCATTATAAACTTAGAAAGAGAGGAAAAGTTCTACAAAATATCTGTTTAATGTACAAGGGTGATGCATAATGTATCGATCACCTTTTTCTCTATTGCCCGACTGTCTATTCTACTTGGACTTGGGCCTTTCTAGTTTGTTCTTCTGTCTCCTTCAACCACTGTCTACAACTATAGATCTCTTATTCCAAAAATAGGTATAACTATCCGGAAAACTATTGTTTTAGCTATTATTTGGACTTAATGGAAGGAAGGAAACCGAACTTTTGAAGGAATTTCCGTAAGTTCATAGTCATTGAGGGACATATTGCTCGCCATGGCAGTGGAATGGGCCTCAGTGACTAAGGAATGCCATGATAGCTCAAGGCTCTAGATTATCCTAAACACTTCCCCCACCATCATTGATTAGCCCAAACATCTTATAGAGGACAATATGGTCCCCCCCACCACACGGTATAGTCAAACACAATTTTGATGATAGTTCTCAAGGTACTCCTGGTCGGGTTGATTTGAGGCGTCATTAAAGATTCTTTGGGAAACATTGTTCTTTTATTTGCAGGACTTGTACTTGAATACACTGTAAATGAAGTTGAAACTAGGGCTTTGCTCCAGGGCCATATGCTTTCATAGAACAACATTGTGTAGTTAATAGTTGACCGTGACTCCATTGATGTTATATAATGGGCTAAGAGAAAAAGATAGATCCTGGAGAATTATCCCAATCTTTGCTCAAATTTCAAACATCTTGTAAGGTATTAACACTAGTATTCATGTTTGTTATTAGGGAAAACAACTTTGAAGTGTATGCTTTTGCCAAATCTGGTCTTTCCCTCCTTGGTTTGATAGTTAATAGTCCTTGAGGCCCGCATCTGTTCCCCTCCTTAGTTGCTCTTTTCTCCCGTTTCGTTGTATTTTTTCCCATTTGTTCTACCTCTCGTGTTCAAGGAAATGTAACAAGCTATCAATTGAAAAAAATAAAAAAAATTCTCCTACCACTTTTTTACTATCAAAATCATCAAGTTTGGCAAATCGTTGATTTATGGCATTGATTGAATTCATCGTAGTTTCCATTGTTTCACCCTGGAGTATTGATTGTCTAAAATTGTTAGATACATGTACAATCAGGTGAGACGGGGAAAATGTAGAAGAAATTTGCCAATTTTAATGTGACATGATCATTTAAAATAGGCTGTACAAATGGCCTATTGGTATCCATTGCCTTAAGTTCACCTTACTGTACATTAATGATATCCATTGCCTGGGGTTCACCCTACTGTACATTAATGGGATGGACACCAGAATTTAAGGAAGGCAACGGGTAGGATCAAGTTCGGGTTGGCACCGACTCGTACCAACACATGAATAGGTTATACTTGGACCTAGACCTGACCTCGACGTAATTCCAAATAAGGCTGGCAATGGACCCAGACTCAAACCAGGACGCACCTAGCATACCCAACATATGTCCAGATATGAGTCCAACCCTTGGACCCAAGGGTAAGGTCCAGGTGCTTCATAATGGACCTTAAGATTTTCGAGTATAAGGGGCCAGGTCCTTCATAATGGACCTAAAGATTTTCAGGTACAAGTCCAAGTACTAATGGACATGCCCTATATCAGACCCGCGACCCAAAGTTTCCCACGCATTTACTCTACTTACCCTTCTTTTTATAACAAACCTTCTCATATTACCTCTTTAATCTTTTCGATGCGAGACATAGATTTTCCTAAAGCAACAGAACTTCTTTCTCTGTAGTCAAAACCCCCTTCCTCTCTCCTCTCTAGCTTATTCAAAGGATCAGAAAAATATCGACGGCAACCTCTCACTCGAAATGTGCTCTCCTCTTTATGTCTTTAGCATGAGGGCACAAATTACAAAGCATTATCACTCTATCTTCACAGGGCTTGCACCCTGCAACTTCACTTCTCTCCCCTTCTCATATACACACCCAAACTCTGCTCTCTCTCCCTCCACAAGTCATTCTCGCTCTATAAGTCCGCCTTTCACACCAGTAGAGCCCGTAGTTTTTTTAGTGATAGAGACCAGCAACGCTGGCTTCAAGAAGAGGAGCAATGGCTCTAGCGAGAGGCTCTCTGGAACATGGAGAGCCAAGCCCTAAAGCTCGAGATCGAGTCTCTGCAACTTAGAATTGAAACCCTAAATTAAGAGAGGAACTCTCAAGCATCCTCCATTGCTGACCTTATCTCGAGCTTTATTACTCTTTTTCAAACCCTAAAAGAGATGAATATAGTATTTGAGTCGCTTGGGCCTGCTCGCCAGAAAAGCTAGTGATGGGTATGGCTTCGGGTCTTAGGTTCAAAATTACCCGTCGGATACGGGTATGAAATTGGTCCAAATAATTTGGACCCGTTGAGTCCCGTGCACATAGTCTATTTCGGATCTGGGTCCGAGTCTGGGTCCAGGTCCGGATCCGTCTTCGTCTTCAGCTGGACCCGTTGCCACCTCTAATCCCAAGTCATTTGGACCTGGACCTGATACGTACCCAGGTCTAGAAATTAGAAAAATAAAAATATAATAGCATATACATCTTAGAAAATATTATATCGGGTCGGGTCGATTTCAACTCGACCCGATAGGGGGTCCATACAGGACTTGAACCCAAACCCCACTCGGGCTGGGGCCTAGACCTGGACATGGTTTAGATCGATCTACCACATTGGCGGGTCGACCTGATCTGATTGCCGCCCTTACACTGGATGGCTGATCTCTTTACTATCGCTACGTACACACACTTGCATTTCACCCAAACCCTTGCAATAAATAATATCATTCCCGAAGTTTATGGGGCAATACTCTAACTATAAAAAGGTAAGGGTAGGTACGTATTATGGAGGCAAATTAATGTTATTTTCTGAAGCAGACCTAACGCATTTGTTTTATTTAGGGAAAATTATTAATACCCCCAATTTGTATTTTCTAAACACTATACCCCCATCTTAATTTTTTCTCACTTGAATTTTATAAAATGTGACTTTTATGACTAATACCCCCAACGTCAAAAGATAAAAAAAAGAAAAGTTTACCCTCCCTCCTTTTTAATCTCTTGCTTTACCTTTTTTTCACATCTCACCCATTTTTACCCTGCGGCTTCCTCTCTCTAAGCAGCACCTGTGGTGATCTCCCCTTTCCCTCTCCTACGGTGATTTCTCATTTTCTCTCCTCTATCTCCCCTCACACCATTTTCATACCTGTAGTATATCCTTCACCATGGTGAAAAAATCCCTTGCGTGCATTATCTCCTCCATCACGGTGAAAGAGTCCCCACTCGTCGAGGCCCACTCACTCTCTCTCATGACCTACCAAGGCCCTACTTACCACTTTCTACCTATTTTTTTCTCAATCACTCACTCTACGAAGCCCCACTCACTCACTCTCTCCCACAAAGAACCCATTTTTTATCTCTCTGTCTCTACAATCCAATCTCTCCCTACAATCAAAGGTGTCACTGTCTATACGAATTTTTTCTATCCATCTCTCTCTACAATCGAAGGCCCACAAGCATCTACAAAGTTTCCACAGAGCACATCTATCTTGAAATGAGCCCCATCACAAGTCACGCTGGATTTTTAAGGCCCAGGTATGAAAAAATATTTCAATTAAATATTTAAAAATATTTTTCATCTAATATTAATGTTGTAACTTCAAGTTTGGAGTTAAAGATAGCCACAATGTCTGTATTTAATTTGTTATACAATTGAAGGAATTGATAGGTAATTCTTAAGATGTATTAAACTTTTTAAAAATTGTTATGAACATTGTCAATGGGTCTCTATTGTCATTTTAAGGTATGAATGTTATTGGTGGTACTAATTTTTGGGTTTTTTTATTTTACTATATTTTGTCGATCTTATAGATGTTGATGCATATATTTCTTTTGTTGAAATTTAGTAACAATTCTTGTCTACAATAATCTTTTATTTGCGTAACTCTTGTTAAAATTTAATTTGTCAATAAGAATTGAAGGAATGGATTGATAATGGCTTAAGATGTATTGATTTTTGTTCTTAATTTATTATGGATATTGTCGTTGCATCTATATTTTTCATTTTAAGATATGGATGTGACTGATGGTAATAATATTTTTCTTATTTTTACTGTATTTTGTTGAATTTGTATATGATCATCCATCATCTTTATTTTGTTAAAATTGAGTACAAATTCTTGTACAAAAAGCTTTCTTAAAATTGTCGAGCTATTTTTAAAAAACAATTTTTAATGTATGAATGTCATTGATAGGAATAATTTTTAGGTTATTTGTACTGCATTTTGTTGAACTTGTAAATGATGACGCATCATCTTTCTTTTGTTAAAATTTAGTACCAATTCTTGTTACAAAAAGCTTTCTGAATAAGCATAGGGCAAGTTCAAGTCTAGTATATTGGTGGTGAAGTTACTACAAATTTTGTGCAGGACAAAAGAAAATGGGTGATAACAGATTAATT